TTTAAGACCTTGAAAAGTGATATCAATAATTCCTCTACTTGCGTGCGCAGTCCGTATAATTTTTCGGAGGTTTTCATGTGAAAAATGGATTAAATTGTGAATTAGAGCTGTAAAACTCAAAATATTGACTGTGTGATGACCCAAAATGTCATCTTTAAATTAAATAATCATCTCGGTATTTTAAGACCTTGAAAAGCGGTATCAATAATTCCTCTACTTGCGTGCGCAGTTCGTATAATTTTTTGGAAGGTTTTCATGTGAAAAATGGATTAAATTGTGAATTAGAGCTGTAAAACTCAAAATATTGACTGTGTGATGACCCAAAATGTCATCTTTAAATTAAATAATCATCTCGGTATTTTAAGACCTTGAAAAGCGGTATCAATAATTCCTCTACTTGCGTGCGCAGTTCGTATAATTTTTTGGAAGGTTTTCATGTGAAAAATGGATTAAATTGTGAATTAGAGCTTTAAAACTCAACATATTGACTTTGTGATGACCCAAAATGTCATCTTTAAATTAAATAATCATCTCGGTGTTTTAAGACCTTGAAAAGCGGTATCAATAATTCCTCTACTTGCGTGCGCAGTCCGTATAATTTTCCGAAAGGTTTTCATGTGAAAAATGGATTAAATTGTGAATTAGAGCTTTAAAACTCAACTGAGTTGACTTCGGTCAATATTTTGAGAAAACGAACCCGCATCCGAGTTTTGACCATTCCAGTAATTCCGTATCGTGATTTAGGACTTGGTCATATGTCCGAAATCGAATTCGGAGGTCCCTAGATCAAATTATCGGCATTTAGCGGAATCTAGAAATCTAATGCTAAAGATTTCTTAAGTTTGACCGGAGATTTGACTTTTGAGTAAACGACCCAGGATTAGATTTTTTATGATTCCAATAGCTTCATATGGTGATTTTGGTATCGGGGTCGGAATCTAGTTCTGAAAATTTTCATAGCTTCCTTATGTCATTTATGACTTGTGTGCAAAATTTGAGGTCAATCGGACTTAATTTGATAGGTTTCGGCATCGAATATAGAAGTTGGAAGTTCTTGGTTTCATTACGCTTGAATTGGGGTGTGATTCATGGTTCTAGCATTTCTTGATGTAATTTGAGGCATTGATTAAGTTTGTGTCATATTATGGGACTTTTTAGTATACTTGGTTGGGGTCCCATGAGGCTCCGATAAATTTTGGAAGAGTTTTTGGAAGATTTTGGCGTTTTGAGCATAAACATGTAATGATCCAAAGGTCCATTTTTAGTTATAGAGATCGAAATTTGATTTCGAGACTTTTGGGATTTTGATAATGAATTATAGGAGTGATCTGAAAAGTTTGGTCTAATTTCATCAAGTCGCAATTGGGTTTTTAACGTGAAACATGAGTTAATTATTTAACGAGCGAAATGGGAATCTCACTAAGCAAATGAGCTCCGAATTGAGTTTCCATTGAAGGACTATGTTCGTATTATTATTTGTGACTCATAGGAACAAGAATCACCGAATTCCAAATTCTTATGATGGAGTTAGAGCCTTTTTAGTGAAATTAAAGACTGCTGGTGCAACATATCTGGTGTGCACCTTTAGCGACCAGATTTGACCACTTTTAGCAATGGGAATTGACTTTTAGCGACCAGAATCGGGTTTTTAATGTTGTTTCTGTTTTTTTTTAAGCCCATTTTGACCTTTTTGGTGAAAGAACACGGCTTGGGCCGATTTTTGAGCAAGAAATCATGGGAAATCTTGAGGTAAGTCACTTGTAATCATTTCTACTCCATAATATTGAATTATTATCGAATAATCCGACTAGATTACATGTTTTTGAGGTGTAAATTGAGGATTTAGGCCTAGGGATTTGAAAATAAGATTTGAAGATTTGGAGGTCGAATTGTTATCGGAATTTAGTAATTTTGGTATGGTTAGACTCGTGGTTGAATGGGTTGTCGGATTTTGTGAGTTTCGTCAGATTTCGAGACGTGGCCCACTGGCAAATTTTGGGTTAATTTCGGATTTTGTTCGAAAATTAGTGTTTTCATATGGAATTAATTCCTATAATTAGTGTTGACTTGATTGAATTAACTATGGCTAGATTCGGATCGATTGGAGGCCGATTCAAGGGGAAAAGGCATTTCAGAGTAGGGTTTTTGCTCGGATTGAGGTAAGTAATGATTGTAAATGTTGTCCTGAGGGTATGAAACCCCAGATTTCACATCGTTGTGCTACTTTGAGGTGACACACACGCTAGATGACGAGCGTGGGGTCATGCACCGTTGGGGATTGTGACTTAGTCCGTCTCGTATGACTATTAAACCACGAATTTGATTGAAAACTGTTTGATATCATTGTGTTTTGGAAAGTATTATCATATTTTGGGCTGAATGCAATATTTAGGCCTTGTGCCAACTGTTTTGAACCCTTAGAGGATATTTACTACTATTCATCATTGTTTGAACTTCATATTTGTATTTAGTCATGTTGTATTCTAATGTTTTCATAACTCAGTCATATTTACTCCGTTTTGATATTTTAAATGATATTTTAGGCTGAGCATCATGTTTACTGTTGCCCAAGTGGCATGAGAGATTTCTGACTGAGTGAGGCCGAGGGCTTGTGTTGTGAGGATATTATGGGATCGGGTTGCGCGCCACAGCAGTGTTATACTGATTCATGATTTTGAGGCCGAGGGCATGATTTGTTACGCCACAAGGTGGCTTGTTGATATAAGGTCAAGAGCCTATTTGATTATGCCACGAGATGACTTGTTATTGTGCTTGAGCCATAAGGGGCCCCTCCAGGAGTCTGTACACCCCCAGTGAGCGCGGGTACCCAGTGTGAGTGATATGATGTAGCCCGAGGGGCTGTTGTTGTATCATATTGTTGCTCGAGGGGCTGTTCTTGATCCATGTTTTGACCGAGGGACGGTTCTTGATTCATGTTATGCCCAAGGGGATGATTACGAGTGATTGTGAGGTAGCCTGAGGGATTGGTTCTGTTGATATTATGCCCGAGGGGCGGTTTATGGTACATGTTTTGCCCGAGGGGCTATTTGCATTTCTATCATTTTTACTCACTGTTTTATCACTCATTTGAAACTATTGAAAGTTGTTTTAAAAAGTTTTACTGAAATTGAGCTTGATTTACGAAGTAAATGGTTTTTGTACTGTTTTTGAGAAATATACGGTATTTGTTGTAGTGCTATGACGTGAAATTATGTGTTTTCTTACTGCTCAGCTTTCATTTACTTTTATTACTTACTGAGTTGGCGTACTCACATTACTCTTTACACCTTGTGTGCAGATTCAGGTATTTCTGAACCTGGTAATGGGTATTGATTGCTTAGTGGTAGAAGTATCGGAGTTAGCAAGGTACTTGCCCGACGTTCGCAGCCCTGCTCTTCTCCCTCTTATCTTCCTTAGACTGTTTTTAGTTTATTTTTAGACTCTTCATTATATTCAGACCCCGATGTCGAGCTGTATCTATTTCTGCACTTATTCTATTTCGCTAAATTTATACTTGTTGGGGATTTATTCTTATAAATGACTTAAATTGACTTATTAAATTATTAAAAATGAATTTGGAAATTGTGTCGGTTGGCCTTGTCTTCACGAGAGGCGTCATCATGACCGGGTCCGGTTTGTGGTCGTGACAAGGCTATTACTGGCCAAAAATGGAAGAAGAGGCGAAAAGGTTTGTGGCTAAATGTGACAAGTGCCAAAGGTATGGTAACAACATGCATCAACCAGCTGAATTATTACATCCAGTTGTTGCACCATGGCATTTTATGAAGTGGGGGATGGATATCATGGGTCCACTACCACAAGCCAAAGGTAAGGTACGATTTCTATTAGTAATCACTGACTATTTTATTAAGTGGGTAGAAGCAGGTGCCTTCAAACAAGTACGAGAAAAAGAGGGCAGAGACTTCATCTAGCGAAACATCATATGCCGGTTTGGGGTTCCAAAAGAGATCGTGTGCGATAATGGCCCTCAATTCATAGGTGCGCAAATCACAGAATTCTTCCAAAGTTGGCGAATTAAAAGGATTACTTTAAAGCCTTATCATCTCGTGACCAATGGGCAAGCTAAATCAACGAATAAAGTTATTATCAACAGCCTGAAGAAAAGACTAGAGGAATCAAAAGGCAAGTGGCCAGAGGTGCTACCTGGGATCTTGTGGGCTTACCGAACAACAGCAAAAACAAGTACGAGAGAAACATCATTCTCACTTGTGTACGACGCTAAAGCCTTAATTCCAGTTGAAATAGGGGAGCCAAGTACGAGATATACCCAAGCTATAAAAGAGTCAAATGAAGAGGAGATGCGGGTAAATCTCGATTTGCTTGAAGAAAGGAGAGAAACTGCCTTAATAAGGATGGCAGCTCAAAACAAGTTATTGAGCGATATTACAATCGGAAAGCTTGTCTCAGATACTTCAAGATTGGGGACTACGTACTCAAAAAAGTTTTTCAATCCACAAGAGCAGCCAATGCAGGAATGTTGAGTCCAAATTGGGAAGGACCTTACAAGGTTTGTGGTATCGCAGGAAAATGAGCATGTGAACTTGAAATCATGGATTGCAAGATTCTACCCTCGAGTTGGAATGATGTTCATCTGAAGAAGTACTATTTCTAAGGGAAGGAAATTCCCACGGCCAGGTATCTTCAATTACGATTTTTGTTTTTGAACTGTTAAAGTTATACTAAAAATTTTAGATGATAGGCAAAAAGCTAGCCCACATAAAATGATGAAATTGGACCTAAAAGACACACGGAAGAAACGTAATTCCTGATCTAGGGTTACAACTATTCTGGTGGAAATGTAATGGGTTAAGCAGTCTTCATCTACATTATACCTCCGAGTCCCGTATGTTTTTCCTTTTCAGAAAAAGGACCGCATGGAAAGAATAATCAAATGCTCAAGATTTCATACTTCAAAGCTCAAACACTTAGAAACTATAATATATNAGGGTTTCTATTTATCTCTTTCCTTAGAACTTTGCCTTTTTTAATTCCTACTGAAAAATAAGCAGTCCCTTCTTTTTGTAATTCCATCAATTACGGTAATCTGTCAAAAGGCAAAAACCCAACAGTCGTTTCTCCTTACATTCGTTTTGTAACAGACGCTCTTAATTACCGTACTTGCTTTCTCTTCAATCCTCTATGTTTTATTACTCATTATTTTTTCTCAATGGCCACATAGGAATTGTTTCTCTCAATTCTCAAGGTAAATCTGTTCTTTATGATTTTGGAATATAGTAATTCTCTTTCATATTTAGTTTGCTTTCTCTGCGTTCTACCTGCAAGATGAAGTTTTCTCTATTATGATCTATTCCCAATTTCATTATTTTAAGTTTTTGTCTTTTGTTATTCAATGAATATACTAAATTTTTTTTGTTGTTGTTGTTGTTAACTTTTGGAATATTTCACAAATTTTTTAACTATTGCTTATTGCAAGTGCTTACCAAGTTTATTCTATGAAAAAAAAATATCAAATTAACAAGGCATGTTGTGTTGACGCCTATGAAATGTTCGACAAAAAGCTCTATAGAGAGGTACAATTTCCACGGCTGCTGGACAAACCACTCAACAGATGCAGGTCGGTATTTCTTTTACACTCTTATATAGCTGCGGAGAAAAACAAAACCAACGGCCTTGAATAATTGTGGTCGTTCAATTATACAGTGTCTCTAAATGTTCATTATATAGTTTAGTCATATGGAGTTTCGATTATAAGATTTTCAACTTCCTGTTAATTCATATTTTCTTTTGATTATACTGAATTCTTGTATATTAGTATTACTATATTTGCCTATTATTATTTCATGATCTACTCTTTCATGTTCTGATTTATCAGTGACTAATGCATTTAACATATAAGCAACATTTTAATAATCAGAAAATGACTTATTTGCAGCAATATTGCAATGCTTAGAAAATTTATCTTTTTAATTTTCTCATATTCTTGCCTTTTTATCGAAGTGGTCTTTCTCTTCCTTCGATCATGTTGTTTCTGCCTTTTTGGGGGGTTTGACATTTAAATAAAGCATAAAGGTAACTTATACAGTGATCAATTTTTATACGGGTTGGGGAATAACGGAAATACCTATCTAACGGCTATTGGAATGGTTGAAACTATTAAAATAAATGTGACAATTAAAGTTACAAAATCAATAGTTTCTCTTCACACCCCATTTTAACCTTAGCTTTTACTGACTATGCTTTGTGTTTACCTACCTCAATACCAATCTCTTAAGCACGTTCTCTTTTTTATGATACTTACAGCTGCCGGTATTAATTATATCATGAAAGGACTACTTCCAAAAATGATTCAGGTTAAAGAGAAAGCACATGGCAAACCTGTGGTCTATCGGCTACAAAATAATGAACGCAAGCACAGTCCTATCGAACACACTGATGAACTGAAGGACTCTGATTACAATGTTTTGGAGAAAATAAAATATTGTCAGTGACTTAGAGGAAAAGCGTTGTAGAAGAGGAGCAATAACAGAGAAGTCAACCCACTATAATTGCACACCACGATGCGGCAATATCAATCTAACTGGGACACAGATTTGTGATGCAGTTAAAATTGAGAGAATGAAGCTTGTGAAAAGAACACTTAATGGTGTGATGATATAAACAACATGCACTTACTCTTGCAAAAAATATAGTTTCAATATTTGACAAATTTAAATCAATAACTTGCTTTTCCTATAAATTTGGAGAGGCCTTCTTATCTTTTATCATACAGGATTTGACCATACTTGTCTTTCCCTTCTTCCTCTGTTTTTAGTACTCTTCTTTTTTTAAAAAAAATCACCAAAGAGAAGTTGTTTCTCTCATTCTCAAGGTAAATCTTATCTTTGTGATTTTGGAACATAGTTATTCTCTTTCATATTTAGTTTGTTTTCTCTACCTTCTATCTGCAAGATGAAAGTATCTCTATTGTTATCTACTCCCAATTTTAATATTTAGGATTTTGTCTTTTTGTTATTCAACTTCTGGAATAATTTACAAAATCTTTAACCGTTGCTTTTGATTCTTTTTGGGTATCAGACTTCTTAGTTTCCATTGTCTCTAACATTCGTTTTCAACAAAAACTTTGTGGTGGTTGATAACTTTTTCATTTGATTAGTACTAATAGATATTTAGATCTGTTATATTAGTCTTCGTGCTATGTTTGATTGTTCCTACTGTTTTTTACCTTCTATTTCGAGAAGATTTGATATTTTTGGGTTTTTTATCACTTTGTTCGATTGAAAATTGAAATTTATCTTTAACTTGGATTCCTAAGATGTCAGAGACAAACGTAAGGGCTTGAAGACACAGTCTCTGGGGTTCCACTTTCCAGGTATTTAAATAGTTCAAATTTTTTTATTTTTCACCAATCAAAATTTCATACTTCGTTAATGCTTCAGCTCCAATTTTCCTGCTTTTCTTTTTATATTTGAGTGTTTGAATAATTTAGTTGTAGCGTAATCATTATCACGACTAATTTATTATTCAAAATTCTCATGATGTCCCCATTTAGCTATCCTTGGAGCATTTTTCATCATGTAAGCATCTAAACTATCATATATCGTATATATTTTGTTAACCTTGCAATAATCAATCTGGAACATGATTTACTCACTGGTATATTTTACTCCTTTCATAGTTTGTTAATCAGTTATTTACATAATATTCTGTGAAATTGAGTCAATATTTGTTATTATTATGTGAAATTAAAGCCATAGTTATTTTTCTACCTCCAGGCAACGGAGTTTTGAAGAATTGTGTCGCCCGAAGAGATGTAGAGAATCAAACATCTATTATTTTTCTCTGAATTGTTTTCATTCTCAAGTTCATTCTTTCTGTTATCTCTAGAGTAGTTCTTCTCAACTTGACATTTTAGCTTTCACTTTCAATGATCACATTTAGAGGCTAATACTAGAACAAATGAAGTTGGCGGCAATTGTGTTAGAACCCCTTTGCTAAACGGGTTGAGTTTGAGAATAGGTAAAAATCACCAATAGATTTCTAAGGATCAACTATAGTTAGTTAGCTTGTGATTAGTTTTCTACCTGTTACGTTTATTCGTAGAGGTATATCATAGTCTAATAACTTGTGTTTGTGATTTACCAAAATCTTACAACAATGACATTTTCAGCGGAATTCAGTTTGCTAATTATTAAAAGAAGTCAGCATTCGTCTATTCTTATGGAAAGAAGATAGAAGTTCGTGTCTTTTATACATAAAAGAACTAGGTAAACTTGGCAATGAGAGAGCAAAAATCGTGTTTACCCTTTAAGATGGAAACAGAGATGGAGGCTCAGTGTGTAGCTGACTATATCTTAATAGCAGGATTTCCATAAAATTAAGTTTGGTTCCTTCTGTTCTTTAAAGTCTATTTGTAACCCGATAGGACTATCTTTTAATAATTAGTGCAGTTCATATTGTCACACGATTATCGTTTTTTAACTAAATTAATTTGACAAACTCAATAATTGTAGTTCCTTTGCTCTATTATAGTATGTTGCTTTTGTTTATCTCAAATACTGAGTATCTACCTTCCAAGAAAAAGAATTTAATATCAAATTTTTTATTTTGTTGACGTTAGTCTTTTTGAATGATTCTTTATTGCTAATTGGAACGTTTGTATATTATTTATATAAATCTAATCTTCTAATATACGATCAATAATATTTTATTTATTTGTTTCATTAGTAGTCTTAAGATGAATTTTCTGTAACTTTAAGGCGTATTAAATTAATTTTTTTATTTTATTTTAGTAGTCCTTTGAATTTTTTATACATAGATAAATCTTAAAATACTACAGAGGTATAAATTATACGGAAGTATATGTTCTAACTTCTAACTTCAAAGTTATGAACTAACGAATGAATTAAGTTTATAAAACTTTCACTAATCTTTTATAATCGCGCGAAGCGCGGAAAATTCACTAGTATATGTATAGGGAAGGCAAAGAAGACTGGAACAATTAACATTCAAGTCGAACCTAAAGTCTACTCAACAAATCTCAAGTTCGGAGCAAAGTCACGAGCCAAAAACACAAGCCCTGATTCAAAAACCTATGAAAGATACACTCGTGGATGTAAATCTTGAAGTCTTACGAATGTTTAGGTTAAAGGAAATATTTAGTTATGGGTTATAAAGAAACCCTTGGATTTTCTTTTTTACAAATTTGTTGCAAAGAAAACAGTTGCGGAAGAGTTATAGATGATACTTAAATATATGTAAGGTATTATTTAGTTCGACAAGTTCGAATGAAATAAAACTTTTCTCAAAGTTATTCCAAGAAACATGTGTGTTCCTATTTGTTATTTCGTATGTTTACACCATTATGAAGTTGAGACGTCTTCTTCATTAAGTATCGTATATAAAAGGGCCCTCTTTTATAATTCGTGCTTGATTCAAAAAGCCATGAAATAAACAAATCATTTTTAAATGAAAAAGGATAAAACAAAAACCCACATACTAAAATCAAAGTGAAAAACAAGGCCCTAAACTTAAAAAGGAAAAGGCAAGGGTAAACCACTTAGAGAGAAGAATAGAAAATCAAATCAAAGGCATCATAAAAGTTGAGCAAAAACTTTATAATATCTTAAAATAACTTAGTTGAAACTAAGTATGAACTTAGTCCTAACTTAATTGTCATTATAGAAACCCCTGAAAAGGACCGGGGTATGATGATACCAAAAAACATTACCCCCAAATGGGACCAGGGGTAAAACCATCAAGTGTTTCACCAACAAAACAATTAAAAAAAACTAGATAACTTCACAATCAAACTTTCACTATGGAGCAGGTTCTGAACCAATATTCAAGATGACGTCATTAGCAGCAGAAGGTTCAACTTGATCAGAAGGGGCTTGAACAACCACTACAGCAGGATTAACTTCAACACCATCGGGAGTATCAGCCATGGGCGAAGAACAACTTTGGGTTGCTGAGTTTTCTCAATTGTTTCCTTAATCTTTGCTACCTCAGCATCCAAGTTAAAAACTTCATGGCTTACCTCCATAAGAGTATCATGGCGCGTGTTCAAAATGGCCCAACTTACTTCAATAGCAGCCTTGTCTTTAAGAGCTTCATAATCTCTCTTCCAATGATCAATTTCATTCTTAAGCTCTTCCTTCTTGGCTAAAGCAGCATCGTAAGAAGCTTGTAAGGGGGAAAGCAAACTCTCCAAAAACTTAACCCTATCGGAAGACACTCGGAGATCTTCTTCGGCCTGGATGAGTGTTTGAACAAGCTCACCAACATAAACTTCTTTCTCATCCAATAGGGCCTTCAGACCTCTGATCTCTTCTGTAGCCTTGGAAAGTTGTTCAGCAAAAGACGACTCAAGAAGGTGTTTGTCCTTGCCCGCTTGGTTGGAAGAGGCTTTCTCAACTTTAGCTCCGCTGCCATGACTTTTATCTGCTGCTCCAAGGTACATTTGTTTTTTCTCTAAAACTTCCATCTCAAGCTGGAGACTTTCATACCGCTCTTTCCAATTATCAGCCTCAATCTGGTAATCATGCATCAACTGCTCTGTATGGGAAACCCTTTTAAATATCTCTGTGCCAATAAGATTGATCTATATAAAGAGAAAAGGATGAGATCCTAGTAAAAGGACAATTACATAAGGTAAAGAGAGAAGTCTATACCTTCAATAATGATTGCACAATGTCGTTCATCCAAGTCAAAGAACTGTGACTTTCCAGTTTTTGACTTTTCCACCGGACCTATCAAGGGTTTTAGCCATACGTCAGCCTGGCCTGACTTTTTCAGAAGATTACCATCAGCAGGAACCTCAATGGTAATTTGCTTCATTGCCCTGCTATCACTTGAAGAACCAATTTCATTACGAGAAGTATTGACAGTAGGAACAGTCGAATAAGTCATAATAGCTTCGGGCGGAGCAGAAATAGCAACGGTAGGAACATGCACATGGGATACCATTGGAACTGACATAGGAAAAGAGGCAAGAGGCGCTTCCTCATAAACCAAGTCAAAGCTTTCATTGTCAAACCCACGTGAAAAGAGGTGTTCGACAGAGTCACGAGGTGTCACAGGCATCTCTTCATCAGAACTCAATAAAATGGCTTCAACAAGCTCGGTCACAAAAACAGAACAAGGAGGAGGAGTAGCTTTGTCATCCGAAATGACACGTCTTCTAGCCCGTGGTTTACGGACTAAAGAGCTACCATCCCGCTCCTCTTCATCTTCAGAATCCTGTGGTCTGTCAGCTTTTTGTTTTCGATGAAGAACTCAAGATTATCTCCTGATCTCTTGCCAAAGAAAGTCTAGAAGCTGAGATTGACTCAACGCTCATACCTCGAATAGGAAACCCTGATAAAAAGAAGTGTTAATAAATTTTAAAGAGAGAATGAGCGAAGGAAAAAAGGAGAAAATAATTTTTTTTACCATGAGTCTTAACCTTCCAGCCAAACCTATCCGAAAGGTATTTCCAAGACCTTACTTCCATCGGAGCAACTGTTAATAATTTTTCTACCCAACTACAAAAATTGAGAATCTCTTCAACAGTTCCCATGGTAGCTAAAAAAGAAAAGTAAAACAGTCACGGGAAGTACAAACTCTTAAAAAAAAAGAGAAAGTTGAAAAGAAAACTTACGTGCAAAGTTCCACTTCTCAGGGAAGGGCATATTTTCTTCACCTACTAACCCTTTCGTGAGCAGCAACAAATCGCGCGTACCAGCCACGATCTTTATCGTCCTTGGGGATGACTAAAACCCTCTTACTCCTCGCCACCAGAGTAAACATCCCATGACGGAATAATTTAGGAGAATAGAGGTAGATTAGATGGTAGAATGTGAAAGGCAATTGAGCCAGATTAGGCAAATACCTTAAACATGCAACAACCCTCCATACAATAGGGCTAATTTGTCCTAAACACACATTGAAGAAGCGGCAAAATTCAATAATGACTGGATCAATAGAAAGTCTAAAGTCTAATGTAAAGGGATACGTATACACAAAAGAAAAGCCAGCTTTAAAAGAGGTGATCCTTTGATTTGCGTTGGGGATCAGAATTGAGAAATCAAACTTCCAATGACAATCTCTACAAAGAATAGAGATCAAACCTTCAGTAATTTGTGAAGGATAAAAATCAACACGATCATGAGAGGACATAGAGGAAACTTGGTTTCTAATCGACTCTCTGTCAGTATAAAAAGAAAGCTCGGCAGGGATAATCTCGTCTACTGTAGGTTCAAGCATTGGATCACTGGAATCCCTACTTCTAGCAGAAGACCTATGAGAAAGAGAAGGTCTAGTTCTAGAAGACGATGGAGGAGTAGGACTAGGTTGAGAAGAAGAACCTCGAACGGAAACTGACCCTAAGCTACACAACCTACCACATCTCCTTCTTCTAGTAGGAGCAGGAGAAAGTTCATCTATAATAAGAACCTTTTGAAGACCAGGGTTTGAGGAAGACATAGTTGTACGAATAAGTAAAAAGGATTGAATGGCAAAATATGGAAAAAGAATTCGTGAAAGAAAAGACAAAGGATATATTTATACTTGGAAGCAACCGTCAAACAAAAAAGTTATGATGGAAACGTCATTATGAAAACTGTCACTTGGTGATTGATGCAACCGTAAAAAAGCCCTAAAAGGCGCTGAGGAATTATAGAACCAATCATAGGGCACCACGTGTCACACGTATTAAATGGAAGTGACATACAAAACGTCAGTTCAGAAGAAGGTATAATGATATATGGGAAACGGCGGCAAAAATTTCCGCTTTAATGAGATCCACTTCCCAAATATTCAATTGCTGAATAAATGGCAAGTGGGGGGACTATCTGTATAGGGAAAAATCAATATAACACTTGGAATTAATTATGTGGCTGACATGGCAAGACACGTGGAATATTAGAAGAGTGACAGCTGACAAAGAGTACTTAAAGAGACGCGAGTCTTAATAGATACGAGCAAAGTATCTAAAGTACAAGAAGGAACGGTCACTCGGGTCTCTTCATAATTTGAAGAGACACTGGTGGAATGAACCAAGACAGCAAAAAGTGCATATTCGTAATATCTTCATTTAGTGAGCATAAATGATAGAAAACGTTATAGAATCTTCACAAAACAGTTACGATTGCCAATTATAACATTTTATTAATGTCATTAAATGCTCATAATGGCTCTATTATGAGAGGAAAGAAACGGTGTACTTAGAAATAACTATAAAAGGGAGGGAAATAATATTTGTATGGACATACTGATTATTATTGGAATATACTTATTTACATTGCTTTATATTACTTGCTCGGCTACTTCTCAGTCTAATTTTTCCTTTCTCGTAACACAATTATTTCTTTATTTGATTATCAGTAACCCGAGTTCTTCTAAAAATAAGCTTTGACCGAAATTTTTATTTTCTGGTTAAACACTAATTTTATTCAGCACGGTATGGGCGAAATATCCTTAAGGACAATGTCTTTGACACGCCTCAAGCTAAACCTTTTATTCTCCATAATCATTCAATTTTTTCCAACAATACTAATATCTAACAGCACAAAATGTTAAAACTCAGCTACGTACAATAATAATTACCGATTTGGTCAAAAAGAAATTGTAGAAATACCCCATTTACGTAGCTCAAAGTGGCACATATATTAGTAGTTGGTTTTGGTTCTAACAATTTGTGAAGGGAAACGGCTGCCAACTGATCTGAAACTAATATAACAGCAATTTACGAACTATTTTTTTTAGATAAAATCTTGCAGTGTACAATATAACCAGAGTGAGACATTTTTAACTCAGGCCTTGGTCACGCTTCGCATCAAATACATGATTTTGATTCGTGCATTTCAATGTTGTTGAAAAATTTAGCCAGTGTAATAAATGGATAAATTATTTAGACAATTAATGGGTTCTCATAGATTCAAATAATCCTCCTCCACTCCTCAAGGTGTGGGCGTGTGACTTCCCAATATCTACGTATAGAAGTTTTTTGTGAACGTAAACCAGATGCATAATTAATCTTGGGTTGTTCAATATTAGAGTATATATAACCTTAAGTTCTGAAGGCACAAAGTGTCGATATGTCCGAGTGGTTAAGGAGACAGACTCGAAATCTGTTGGGCTTTGCCTGCGCAGGTTCAAATCCTGCTGTCGACGCTCTTCATTTTCCCCCCTCAACCATCTTCTATCCACATTTTTTTCTCCTTTCAATAAGAACCTCTTTTCTTTCCTCTTTGGTTAATCTCAGCTTTTCCTCTATTTTGCGCTGCAGTGGCATCAATATGGGAAAATAAAAACTATGATCCATTACCTTTGACAATAGGTTTTAAATAGTCACTTAACTATCACCTTAACAATTTTGGTTCTTTAAATTTGTCATAAGTGATCACTTTTGATCTCTGTTAAATATTTATCTACCTATTTCTTTTTAAAATTAATCGAAAATGTAAAAGTTCAAAATATTTCACGAGAACTCTATTTGGAAGTGCAATTTTTGCAGTTTATGTTATTTTTGGTCTATTTATGGAGTATGAAGAAGCTTTTTGAGGTGTAATTTTTGTTATTTTTGGTCTATTTTTTGTGTCTAATGTAGCTTTTTGTGTTTCAGTTTGGGCGATATTAATCATACTTTCTAGTGTTTCTGGTTAGATCTTTTTCTCCATAGCTCGACAAAATTTTAGAATCAAAATTTGGTAAATATCTAGTGGAGACCAAAAGTGCTTACTTTAGTCTTGACACTAATCCGGATTCGCGCCGGAAAATCCCACATTGAGGATAAAGCGCTCCCTAACAGAAAACATAATCCGCGCCGGAAAGTCCCAGGGGTAAATGCTCGGTTAATGTACAAGAAAGTAGATATGAAGAATGCTTAGTTTTTGGACAAGAAACTATGCTTTGTTTATGGACAGGAAAGTGCCTATTAACGCTAGTAGCAGCTATTGTTATCTTTATACGAGTCTTACACCTCCGAGATGTAAATTCAAAAAATATTAGTTGCAAAAAAAAAAAAAAAAATCCCCTTGAAGAAAGACCTCTAATTTTAGCATAACGTCAAGAACTTGGTAATGTATTTTTCATTAGAATCAAAGTTCAGCTGCATCATCACTGGTAAAAGATATTAAGGAAGGGCACAAAAACAATGTATACTAGTGTTAAAATTTACATGTACAATGGATAATGAAAAGAAAATCTAATTTCGTTCTCAAATTTGAGAATCTAATTTTTCCCCAAAACTACACGAGACAATCTTTGTAATTGTGCATCAACCTCATTAGCCAAATCATCTTTCCCAAACCTTTTAAAACCCCTCCTTAAAACCTTAGCTACATATTCATCAATTTCAATTCCAGAACCCCATCCACTCCTTTTCATCAATTCATAAACTCTAACAGTTGATTCAACTTGTTCACCTTCAATCAACGCCCTCACTAATCTCACCAGCGCCTTATCATCAACCTGAATTTTATCCTCTTTCTCCAAATCACAAATCAAATCACCAATATGTTCGGTCAAACCTGTTCTGGTCAAAGCTAAAACCATATCAGCGTAAAGACCCAAATCGGGAACGCTGCATTCAGATTGAACGGCTGGGAAAACTTTGACGGCTAAATCGGTAAGGTCCTGTCGTAAGAGCTCTTTGAAGGCGGCGATAAGATCTGCTTTGATGAGACGAGAGAGGGTTTTGGAAATTTGAGCTTCAATTTGGGACGGGTCGGTTCTTTGGGCTCGTTTTAGAGCTTGAATTGCTTGGATTGCTTCAATGCTCAGTATTCGACCCTTGACTAGAGGTCCACGGTTGCTTCTGGGGCCGCCACATCGCACTGAGAATTGTCTTGTGGTGGTAGATTTCAATGGACGGGTTACTGAAGAATGTGGTAAAATGAAGTTGAGGTTTGTGGATACAGAGGACGCCATGAATGCGATTACCTTACTGGTACAAGTGGGTAAAACTGTGAATAGGTTATGAAGTAACGGGTCTCAGAAACCCGCATTAGTTTTATTTTGGTTACAGTTTGGTCCCTATAGTTTATATATCCTACATTTATACACTCGAGTTTTTTTTGAGGGGGGGGGGGGGTTAAATTTTGTTTAAAGTTATTTTAAGCCACTGAAAATTTTCTAATTTCAGGTGTGTTTGGTACGAACTTTTCCATTTTTTTAATGTTTGGTTGGCTTTCCTTATGAATCTATTTTACTCCAATTGGAGGAAAATGTTTTTCTTACCAAGAAAAGGAACATTTTTCAAAACTCCTACTCAATCTTCCCTACCGTCACCAACCCACCCCACCCTCTCTCTCCAAAAAAGGTTTTTTTTTTCTTTTTCAAATTTCAGTTTTTCCGTTATCACTCACCCTACTATCCCACCCTCCAACTCCCGCAAAAANCTTTACGGGTTTATAAATTATAAAGTTTACAGGTTCGAAATTTCGCGGTTTCGAAAGTTTGGCGATTCCAAAGTTTATGAAATTTGTGGGGTTCGGAAGGTTGTTGGTTTGAAAGTTTATGGCTTCATGTTTATTATATCTAAATTATCTACGAATACTCTTGAGAAGTCATTTTCTTCTTTAATTTGTGTACCAAACACCGGAAAATAAATAAGATTACTACTTGTTTTTCAAGAAAATATTTTCCACGTAAAACATTTTTCATTATACCAAACACACCCTCAGACAGATCATTTTTAATCAAATAGACCTTCAACGTTAAGAACATAAGATTAAACTCAGATACCTAGTCTATTCTGAGCTGAAGTACGTAAAATGATAAAAAAGGATGTATCTTGATCATAGTTGAGCTTCGAGTCTTTTTTTGTTTTGGTTCCATGTTTGAATATAATAAGTTGAAAGAATCTCTTAATTTCTAAGTTGGATTGCGCATGGATTAGTGGAAACAAAATAAATATGCCTAAGAATGAATAAATGATAAGGTAAATTTTAATTATACGAATTAGAATACCATAAACTCAAGTATTTGACTTAACTTGAATCCTTTTTATCAATGATCATTCAAATTCAACGAAAAAATCGATAGAATCAACGAAAGAATCAGATAAAGAATATAAATAACTTCCAAGAAAAATGTTACTTAGAGCCCGTTTGGCCGAGCTGTCAATATCTGCTTATTTTTTAAAAAAAGTACTTTTTCCGAAAGTACTTTAAAAAAAAAATATTATGTTTGACCAATTCATTTAAGTATTTTTTTGTGACATTTGATAAACAAATTATGTTTGGCCAATCTTTCTAAAATGTGCTTTTGAGTGTCAAATTACCAAAAAGGACAATACAAAGGTCTTATTATTATTTTAAAGAGAAAATAAACTTAAATATTTATCGTAAGATACTTTTATTATTTTTTATTTAATTTAATTAAAATATGAAACGTAAAGTAAACATATATATTAAAGATTTAAATCAATTTTACATATATAGTTATACCAAAGCATATAATATTATCTTGTATAATTACTTATTGTTACATGATGATTTGAATAATCAAAATACAACATTCAATATGTAGAAGTCTATTCCACAAATTACTATATATTGATAATCCACCATGAATAATAAATAAAGTCACTTACATATGATAACATTTCTCAATAATTTCATGTCTACTTTCATCACACAACGCCTCTATATTAGTAGAAGACTTGTCTTGCATTTATAAAGGAATACCAGAAGGCTCATCTCGTTCCTCGGTCTCTGCAGTATGTCTTTATTAGCATAATAGTTGAATTTCTTATAATATTGTCGGATGAAATTATGTATAGTCATGATAGTTATAACTAGATGATTTTGAGTGTCAAACTTGAAAGATGACATTTAGCGTAAACTAGAAATATAATTTTAAATATATTAAAAAAATTTGTTTTCTAAAAAAGAAGAAGTTATGTATGGTTTAATTCAAATTGAAAAGAGTAACTAATTATTAATAACATATAATGTATAATTTCAGTTTTTAAGAATTTAAATTAACAAAGAAATTAATTATTACTTAACCTAACTAACTTTGTACTAAATTGCCAACTGATCTATTCTGAGGCTATCACTTGGTTTAATGTGGATGCATTTTCTTCTTCTTTTAATAATAATATAGATAGATTATGCGATACTATTGTAAATTTATTACCTATTTGTAGGTATGTAGGCATGCAAATTTTATTGAATATAAATTCAATAAAATAATTTGGACCATTTTAAATATATTAGTCCAAATAAATATTATGGGCTACCATAATTAAATTAATGATATAAGTCCAATATATATGGATTAAATAAATAAGTCTTAATCCATTGGGTTAGCCCATTTAATTGGGCTAAAAGTGATGAGCCCACTTCATTAAACCCAAGATGCCATCTTCTTAGAGGCTCAATTTGATGCTACGTGTCAAATGATGTGGCACGCCAAGTCAAGCGGAAGAGCCAATAGGATCATGCCACGTGTCAAAATGACAAGGCATGCCTAGTCACACTAAAATGCCCATAAAATCGCGCCACGTGTGCAAGTGACATGTTCTGGCCAATCAAATGCAGTCATGTCACACTTCCATTTGATTGGTCAGAAAGAGTTTGTTCTTATTACAACTCTTCTCTTCCACAACTATAAATAGGGGTCTTCATAACCCAGAAAAGACACCAGAAGTTATAACAAGAAGCAAGAAAGAGCTCGTGGATCAAACGCTGCAAATTCCTCCACCAGTTTCAGGCTTCAAGTTCAAGTTAAAGAAATCAAGTGCAAGTCCAAGAACGAAGAACAAATCAAGGTCAAGTTCAAGCTCAAGAACAAGATTATCGTTCGAGGCAACAAATACATATTCAAGATCAAGCTCAAAGGCCCTTGAATTTATTTACTATTGAAAAGAAGAATCAGAGGATTCATAGAGATTGTAACACTCAAATATTCGAAATAAAATACTACGATTGTTGCGATATTTTTCGATCTTGATTTTATTTTCTCGACGCAAATTTATTGTCTATAAATTCTGGCATGCCCAGTGGGACGATCTCTACCTCTCATCTCAACTTTTCAGTCACCAAAGTTCAAGAACATTGAAATGGCTTCGAAGAAAATCAACTCCAAATCAACATCCACCAAGGCTGCTAACTCCAGGTTCTATGCTGATGTGGAAAGCATCATCGATGTCACCTTTGGAAGCTTCGGACCAGTTATGAGGAGCAAAACAAGCTTTTTAGGGCAATAAGCACCCCAAGTGTCGTCTGCATCAACCCCTGTTTTCGGATCTTCATCCTCAAAAGGAGCAAAATCTTCCACAAATGCATCTGAAGGAGGAAGCGATGTTACTGAAAAGATCAAGAAAACTCTTGCTCTGCTTGACCTCTCCNTTCTAGAGAGTGACTCTCCCCCAAGACAAGCAGCATCTACTAAGGCTATCCCTGTCTCATCTGAAGGGATGATTCCAATCGATCAACTGAAGGAGTTCATCGAAGGAACCATTAAGAACAAATATGAAGTTGCTGCCAAATCCTCCCTTACATATGCAAAGTCGTACACTGCAAGGGTCGATATGTTGAAGATGCCTGCTGGCTATCAACCTCCGAAGTTTCAACAGTTTGATGGTAAAGGTAACCCAAAGCAACATATTGCGCACTTCGTTGAGACGTGCAACAATGCTGGGACTTATGGAGATTACCTCATCAAGCAGTTTGTTTGCTCGCTAAAAGGAAATGCTTTTGACTGGTACACGGACCTCGAGGCTGGATCTATCGACAGTTGGGATCAACTAGAGCAATAGTTCCTCAATCGCTTTTATAGCACAAGACGCACGGTGAGTATGATAGAGCTCACAAATACTCGTCAATGAAAGGGGGAACCAGTTATCGACTTTATCAATCGTTGGAGGAACGCAAGCCTCAACTGCAAAGACAGGCTTAGTGAAGCTTCAGGCATAGAGATGTGCATCCAAGGCATGCATTAGGGATTGCGCTACATCTTGCAAGGTATCAAGCCTAGCACATTTGAAGAACTTGCAACTCGTGCCTATGACATGGAATTGAGCATGGCTTCCACTGGAAATGAAAGGCTACCCATCTATGAACCTCGAAAAGTGAGTGACAAGCAAGAAGTCAGGAAGTGGGGCAAGTTCGTACCCAAGTCTGAAAGCAAAGAAGCTATGAATATCAATACATCACTTGTGAAGTTCACGACGAAGGAGAGCAAGAAGCAGAGTATGAAATCCACTTTGTTTCAAGATAAGCCAAGTGGGAAGTTGACTCTAAAAGAAATGCAGGAAAAAGAGTACCCATTCTTGGATTCTGATGTGCCAGCCATTTTCGAAGAACTCCTCGAGTTAAATCTCATTGAGCTTCCGGAGATGAAGCGACCAAATGAAGTTGGGAAAATAAATGACCCGAACTACTGCAAATATCACCGACTTGTAAGCCACCCTCTGGAGAAGTGTTTTGTCTTCAAGGATAAAGTCATGGACTTGGCTCGCGAAAAGAAGATCATGCTTGAAGATGAGAAAGCAAGCACAAACCAAATCTCTATCACCTTTGGCTCACTCAGTCTGGATGACTTATGTGGTTTTAAAGAATGTAAAGATGAAGAATTACTAGAGAGCGACAAAGCTGAAGTCAATCAACCTGATGACGATGAAGGTTGGACATTAGTGACTCGTCGTAGGCACCACAAAAAGAGCCCTAAAAAGAATCAATAGAACAACCAACAAGGAAGATGATGGTAAAAAGACCAACGAAAAAGAATCCAGTTAGGCATTTGAAGAAGGCAAAAGTGGAGATGCACCATCCTCAAAAGCCACGAAATCCAGTGACATTGGAGGAGTTTTTACCAAGTTGGTTCCGCACGAAGATTTCCCATGAGGGCATTGATGTCTCTTGTTGCCATGCTGACAAAGGGGAAGAAAAGATTGATGACCTACCGTTGGCACCACCTTC